GCACAGGGACACTGCACAGGGACACTGCACAGGGACACGGCACAGGGACACGGCACAGGGACAGCTCCTGCAGCCCTTTGGAAGCAGCAGAGGCACCCCCGGACAGGCGGGCCCAGCTCCAGCAGCACAGAGCAGAGGGTGACACTGGGGAGCCCAGGGGCCCTTTGCCATCAGAGGTGAGGAAGAAGGAACCCTGCAGGGGGAAGGGCTGGTGCCAAGTGTAATTATCTTTTGGAATGGCTGAGCTTTAATTGCTTCTGGAGCACACCAGGCTCTTCCTCATAATCCACATCAAGTCCAGTTTCTCTTACAGCTCCTAAATCCAACATTCTTTAGGGAAAACATTTCACAAAGCCATTTTTATTTTCTTGGTTTCCAGAGCACACCAGTCTCTCCCCCATAACCCACATCAAGTCCAGTTTCTCTTACAGCTCCTAAATCCAACATCCTTCAGCTGTTGAATTTGGAAAACATTTCACAAAGCCATTCTCATTTTCTTGGTTTTTCTTTCTTAAATTCCAGAGTATCCATCTAGATTTGTATTAGAGATGAGAATTAAATGTGCACACTAGCAATTTAAGGTCAAATAGCTTCTAAAGAAGGTTCAACTACCCTAAAACAAATAGAAAGCTTGCAGTCCAAACAAAAAAGTAATCCAAACACACAAAAGAGTAATCCAAACAAAAGAGTAATGCAAACAGGCTGAGCTCACAGAAATGCACAGATCAGGGATCCAAACATTCCCAAATTCTGCTCTGCTGGGGAGTATCCAGATCTTTGTAAGTAAAGCATTTTAATAAGCGTGTTCCCAGATCAGATTAATTGATTTCTGATAGCTTTGTTTCCCATTTGTCCTTCTTAGAGTGAGAGGATGAAGGGAAGAGTCAAGAGGCTGCCTAAATAGCCACAAACTGATTGCAACCCCAATGTTTCACATCTGAAGCCCATTCAGGGGCTACCAAATTCACTGACACTCTGTAATTACTTCCCTGGGCAGGTTATTACCAGTGCCAGGGTGTGACAGACACACAGCACCTGGGGGTGCTGGAAATGCTCTGTCCCATCCCTGAAGTGCCCCAGGCCAGCCTGGATGGGGCTTGGAGCACCCTGGGACAGTGGAAGGTGTCCCTGCCCATGGCAGGGGGTGGGATCAGATGGGTTTAAGGTCCCTTCCAACCCAAACCAGCCTGGGATTGTGTAAAAGCAGCTGGACTCGTGTGCCCTTCCTGCCTGGCATCTCCTGGTGCCACCATCTGATATAAAACACCAAACCTGACACACCTGGGCACTGCCCACCCTCTTCTGTAAGTATGGATTTAAAGACAGACTCTGCAAACTCTGTGTACCCATCTACATTGCACTAACTGAAGTATCCTTTACCATTCTGTGCCTTTTAATACAGCCTCAAATTAGAAATTCCTGCAGCTGTCTGAAATGGGGAATAGTCAAAAGAACTCCAGACACACCCCACAGGTCTCCAACCATCTGTTCATGCCTTACTGGGAAGGTAAAAAGTGCCATTAAAGGTTAAAATATACACCAGTGTTGTGGGCTAAGATAAGATACCAGCACAGCAGAGAGGGGATGGAGGATTGCTTGTTTAATTCCTGAAGGAAGGAGCCTTTTCACACTTATGAGACAAGAAGGATGTTGTACTCCCCTCCCACACCATGGAAACGCCTGCTGGGAGCAGGGATGAGAAGGAAGAAATGCTGAACATCAGACTGAGGGCTGAGCACAACATCAGGGGAAGGGGAAAATCCAAGGATTTGCCTAAAAGTGCTGGGATGGAGAGAAAATGGAGAAGTGAAAAGGCACAGTGAGCCCCAGGAGTGAGCACTGCTGACATCTGCAGATGAAGCAGCTCTGCTTCCCCAGGGATGCACCTGTGAGCTGAGGAAAACTCTGTGTGATTGGGGAAACACAGGGAGATTTTAGGCTCCTAAAAGTCATTTGGAAACAGCAACAATTGAGGAGACACAAATCCCTTTTTTTCTTCTTTCTCCCTAAGACAAGCAAATTGAAAGCAGACCAACAATTCTGATGTTTTTCAAAATCTATGACAAAATTCATGGTTAAATTTGACACAGGAACATATCTGATCCCCCCAAAAATGGCTGTGGGAAGTCAAGGATTACTGCCAGGCTCTGTGCTCTATTCAGATGCAGAAAAAATTAATGGAAATTATTTATATACCTCTCCAGAGCCTCAACCACTTAATGTGCATTCCTGCTTTCCCACAAAGCAGTGGATTCCTGCTTCTGGTGTATTTATCTCCCTCAGGTTTGCTCCCTCAGCCTGCTGATAAGGGCTGTCACAGTGCAATGGGTCATTCTCCTGAAGAAAATGAAAATACAAATGCCTGTTAATTTGGGTCTCTAGCTCCAGAGAAAGGGAATAAAACACCTTCTTCAATATATGGACCTTCAGGATTTTCTCCTGTGTCACTGCTGGATGAAGACACACTTTTCTTTGTCACCTCTAGCAATAATCCCAGGCACTGCACAGGTTGGAAAAGTGTGGTTTAGATCCTTCTAGCAGTGAAGAAACAAAAAGCCATTATTTGCTGTAAATCAATCTGCCCAAAGGCCAGCCCAGGAAAACACAATCATCAAAGAACTTGGTATCTACATCATAAAGAGTTTATAACTTGCATAATTGTCTT